GCACGTGTCATTTTTTAACATACTAAATAATTGTTTATTCTGTTTATACTGTTACGTTCTGTTCACTGCCTGTCATCCTTTATTAGAATGCTAGCTCCCCAGGAGTAAGGACTTCGTTCTCTTTCCTGATGTTCTCCCAGCTAAGAGGCCCTGGAACATGGAGGCATGCAATAAACTATTTGTTTAATGAATGACTAAATGGTAACACTCCAATATCAAGTGCTCCTGTAACCTCACAAGTCAAACTGAACATTTTACAATGAATTTTAACCAACTTTCTCTCCTTTCCTTCCAAATTACCTCCTTTTTTTTCCAGATACAGTGACATATTATCATCCTTTTGATATATGGTAACACAAGCCTGTTCTGCTATGATTTGAATACAATGCTTCCCCACTAAGTGGCCAACAGAAGTAGTCATTAACGTTGTTCCTTACAAAGAGTTCTAAGGCTACCATTTTAATAAGTGGAAATTAAAAACTTTAAGTGTTAAATAAGAATGCCTGCAAAATAAACCTGAAAAACTTAGTTTAGTTTTTTTTTTTTTTTTACTTCTGTAATACAAATTTCGTAACCTACAAACTCTGCATCAAGATTGCTGTAAAACAGTCTCATACTTACACAGATTTAAATGTAGAGCTGGTCAAATTATATCCCCTAAGACATAGGAGTAAATGATAGATATGTATTATAATACAGCTAACCCATAAAAGGACAATTTGTTGAGTTGATTTTCGATGGTAGTCCTTTTACTAGTTACCAAATATTTTTAAAGTCTTTCGATGTACTTTTCCAACTATTTCTTTATGATGTGTTAGATTAATAAAAAGTGTTTTAATGTGTGAGTAAATAAAAAAAAATTTAATGGCTTTCCCAAGATAAGAAAAGTCCCTCATCCAACCAATATTGATGAGTACCATGGTAATGCAAAGAGGTTGGGGAGAGAAGGTAGTAGAAAGAGAAGATACACATGATTTATTTCTTTAAGGAGAGAGAGAACCAATAAACCTGCTTACATGTAACTGGGCAATCACTAGGTCATTTTGTCTATTATTAACCAGGTAAAGAAGAGAGAAGTTAAAATAAGAGAAATACCTGTCCTTTCTGGTGGGCTATACCAATGCATGTTTTTGGGTATGGTGATACACCGTCTCCACAATCCCACTGTGCCATTGTATCGAAAAAGTGCATCATTGTAAGTCTTTTCATCTGCCTCATCACTAATGAATTCATCCCAGATGCTTTTATTCAAATCACTGGAATTTTCTTGAACTGGACTTCGATATTCATACCAGAAGTCTGTGCCAATGGAGGCTGCCATGTAGATGGTGGAAATGAGGCTAAGCACACAAGCAATTACAAATGCTGTAGCAAAACGGTTATCCATTCTGGCATTCAGACTGCTCTGTTTAAAAGTTGAAGAAAGAAGAAAGTTAGTCTTAAAGGACAAATAAGAAAGACTATTTTGAATTATTCCAAATGCACCCTTTACCCAATTCCCCATCCCTTCGTACATATAACCATTAAGAATTTTTTTTTAGAAGGCAAGCATGTTTTTAATTAAGCTTAAAACAAAACTCATTCTCATAAAAGTACTTATTGAATGCTCACATACCCAGGATGCTACGGAGACAGAGGTCTTGTTCTCTAGTCTATCACCTGCATACTAAAACAGACAACACTGAAATGGACATACACATTACAGATACAAACAATAGACATGCCCATGGTCAGCAGTGTTACCGTGCACACATTTTAAATCACAGACTGAATTTTTGCACGAGCTGCAGAGGATTAAGTGTTCTGGGTTTGAGTGTTAAAAAGACACAGGAAAAAGCAGTGGAAATTGGCTTCTCCCAGTTTCCTCTGAAGAGGGAAGCCTCCTAAAACAAAGGTAAGAGTCAGGAGCCATACGGAAAACAGAGTTGAAGATGTTTGTTAACCCCGAGGGAAAGGTTGTTCTAGGTGTATAAAATAGCAAAGAGAACAATAACATATAATAATGCTAGATAGCAATCTCTCCCTAATCCATTAAAGCTAAGCCACGCTTCTTTACGCTGCCAAATGCTTCACTCCTATCTACTCTCCCTATTCCTTATACTTCTGAACCTCCTCAACTGAAACCTTGCTCTCTCCCTAAACCCTAAGTGCAACATATGTCCGCAAAAACTAAATGATCCCTCCTCAGCCAGACAGAAAACTCTCAAAATATCAACACTCCCAAGGCGTGGACAGGGCTCAACGGCAGTAGTAAATGGCCGCAGTAAAATGACTCAAGGCGGATCGCGCTGAGCCAAATACTACACGGCAAGTATACACCGTGACCGCACCAAACACCTTACAAAGGTGCACGAAAACAGACTCGCAAACTGGGGTTGCTGAGTTTGGAAAATTGGAAGTGACTCAGGAAAGGTAAGGGCAATGACAACGGTAACTCAAAAAGTTGGATTTGCATTTTGATTTTTTAAAAATCCCCCCTTCATCCTGGTGCTCTCAAATGACCTTAAAGGGTCCCAGCACTGGGAACGGCGGTTCATCGAAGCCGGACGCCTGGAGCGGTCACCTCCCGGGCCTCACAGCGGGGCCGGAGAAGGCCAGGGCTGGGGCGGGGCAGTCGTGTGCGGCCCCCATCCAGAGTCCCCCAGTACCCGACCAGGCCCCGCCCTAGAGGGCTCGGCCCAGGGACAAACCCGCCGCTCGGAACCCGCCCAGTCCCGACCACGCCCGGGAAGGGGGCCCCTCTTCAAACCGCCGGGAACATCGAACCGCGACGCGACCCCCGCCCAGCGACGCAGGTCCCGCTCACTCACCGCCCATCCTCCTGCTCCGCCAGCTTCACCCTCCAGCTCAGACCACAGCACCCTACTCTCCCCGCGCCTCCTCTGACGCACTTCCCTGCAGAGCCCGCCCCCTCCATAACTCCCGCGCCTCCGCCTCCGCCCCCACTCCGGGCCGGGCCGCGGCCCGGGACCGAGGGGCCTTGTGGGAGTTGTAGGAGGGACAGACTGAAAGCTGTCTGAGGCGGCGATAGGCATCCTGGCGCCGCGCGCGGCGCATTGTGGGAGATGTAGTTCAGCTCCTCAGGGCAAGCCGGTGCGCAGAAGGGAAGTCTAGGCTGTTGGATTCTTGCATTTTAGGGAGGAAGGAACAATGGTCCAGAAAGTAAAGCGGACCTGTTTCCGGTCACCTCTAGTCAATGACCGTGACCTGTATAACTTAGGTCTGACTTTTAGGCCTGTGCTTTCCCTATCACACCACCCTGCCTCTAGATTTAAGTATAAATGAACAAAAATGGGATTCTACTTGTGAAACGTTGACCCATTTTATTTCCCTCTCCCAGAATCCCTCCCATTGGAGCAGAGTCCTTCTCGTTTTATTGCATAAGTTTAGGCTAAGAAGTATGTGACCTGGCAGACAGTATCCATCAAGAATGTAATGACATTATTTGGGTTTCATAAAATGTGTGTTTGTAGCTGCCTATTTTTTATGACAAGTGATACTAGTTTTCTATTGCAGTAATGTTGTTCCTTTTAAATTTTTTTCATTTAATTTTAAAAATATTAAGTTAATAATACTGAGCATACCAGATATGTCAAAAAATGAATAAAAAATTGTGGGTATAGTAGGAAAAAGACTGAAATTTGGGGAACATCACTCAAGTAGATAAAGTCAAGGACAGCATTGGAGATTGCAGATGATGTGTGGCACACAGGAAACAATGTTTCTGAGCCCTCAGGTTTAACACAGAAATTCATGGACAGGAAGCAGGGACATCTTAACAATAACATGAGTGGAACTATTAACGTGGCCTGGGACCAGCAAATGGTGGATTTCTCAACGGTAACCTACAGAGAAAACTGACTCAAAGACCAGAGGGGCTCTCAAACCTCCACTCTGTCCCCTAATGCCTTGTAATTTAGCACAGGAGAAAGATGGGAGCTTCAAGTTGATACTAAATTTCTACCACTTTGACAGATTAAAGGCATGATATGTTTCTCTATCTGTAGTTACATTTCTTTCACCTGAGTGAACCGATATTCATATGCAGTACATAATAAGCTAGTAGCCAAATATATTCTAACATGACTCTGGATTTTTACATACAGCATACAATCAAAAAAAATTTGTCAGTGGCGGAGGGGCACAGGCAAATTGTCAGTGTGTAGTAAGACGCATAAATGCCTTTATACTCCAGGAAATGTCTTCATCCGTTAGCCTTCATTAGAAATCCCCTACTTTCCGCCGGGCGTGGTGGCTCACGCCTGTAATCTCAGCCCTTTGGGAGGCCGAGGCTGGCAGATCACGAGGTCAGGAGATGGAGACCATCCTGGCTAACACGGTGAAAACCCACATCTACTAAAAGTACAGAAAAATTAGCCGGGCATGGTGGTGGGCGCCTGCAGTCCCAGCTATTTGGGAAGCTGAGGCAGGAGAATCGCTTGAACCTGGGAGGCGGAGCTTGCAGTGAGCCAACATCGCACCACTGCACTCCAGCCTGGGCGACAGAGCAAGACTCCGTCTCAACCAAAAAAAAAAAAGAGAAATCCCCTACTTTCGGATTTACCTCTCCACTGAGATCTTGTGGTCAGTAAACCAGGCAAAAGAGAAGTTTAAAGGAGAGTAAAGAAGAAACAACTTCAGTCTGCAGATAAAGGAACTAGAGAGAGTAACTGACTTGGTAGCAAACTTGGATATTAGAGTAACTGACTGCCATGGTAGCACACTTGAATATACTCGTTTTGTGACTTTGGAGAATTAACCTTCTTTAAGTCTCGGTTGTCTTTTCTCGAAAATATGGATGTTGACAGTAGCATCTATCCCACATGATCATTGAGAAGATTGAGAAAATACATATACAATGCCCAGCACAGGACCTGAGGCTTAGGAAAGAATCATTAAATTATTAGTGTTTGCAAATATTCGTTGAACGTCTACAATATTTGAGTAAGCTTAGTGAAAACAGCTTTTTTGTTTGTTTGTTTTTGTTTTGTTTTGTTTTGTTTTTGTTTTTGTATTCTAATACAGTTCCAGTCAGTGTGGCTGGTTCATTTCAGCTCCTTCAGTGCCAAAGTAGGAGACAGGGACTGCTTCACTTTCTCTGCCTTCTCTTTGTCACTGGTGACCAGGGTATAAAGATATCTGCCGCATCGAACTTTAAACTTCACATTGTCCTTATTTTTCTTGATCTTGACAGATTTGGCATCCTTTGTCGGGCTGTGAGCAGAAAGTCCTTGATTTCCTCAATTTTCGGAGGCATGGCGAAAAGGCACTTAGGGAGCAGGCGTGGACCTGCTCCCTGCACCCATTCATCGAGCAGCGACCGGGAAAAAAGGACGAAAAAGACAAACAGCTTTTAAAGCTCCTAGATTAACCCTAGAGGCTACCCCTAAATGGAGATAAGCCATTTATAGAGATAGGTGTTTCTGCTCGCTTCAGCAGGTTTGAGAAGCTCTGGACTGACCACCAAATGACTAGGAAAGATTTGCCAGGGCTAGTATTTTGGCATCCTTGTTTAGCCCTGTTCAGTAGATTCCCAGGCCTGGGTTCGTATCATACACAAGTCGTCATGACTCAGGAGGTGGATGTTTCTGGGAAGACCTGCAAAGGAGGATGATACTTGCACCCTTCAAGTCTTCAGAATGCCTAGAAAACACTCAGGATGCATTCACTGACCAACCTAGTGTAAACCTGGAGGTGTCTACGTGTTTGTGGTTTCGATCACCCTGAGAGAGGACCTGAACGGCCTCTTCACACCCAGTTTCACCAACCACACAACCGTATTTCTGGTTTATCGCTGCATCTTTAGTGTTTCCTAATTTCTATTTATGCTTGTTTGTTGTATGAGTAGGTAAAATAAATCCTTAATTAATTAATGGAGCTAAATTTCTACTTTTGCTTCTTACTCTGCTGTTTGAGAAACGGTAGCCAGCCTCATATTTTCACAAATATGAAAGATGATTTTGTGCAACCATGTGGAGATTATGGAATTTAGGTTTAAAAGCAAAGTTAAATGAGGCATCTAGCTTAACTTGTTAAATATGGTTCTAGTTTCAACAGGAAGACATTATAGTTATAGCGTATTTAAAATAAAACCGATAACTGAAAATCTAGATACTCAGATGTTGTAACTTGTTTTTACTGTGTACTTATGAAACAACCCTTCACACTAGAATTTCCATCAATACCAAATTCCCCAATACATTTCATATTATTTTATTTTTAATTGCACATTTTTAGGAATTAAAAGTTATATCTACATTATAAGATATATTTACATTATGTTTTTTCATGTAATTTTTTTCCTGGTTGTTTTCCTTATGAACTTCAGAAAGGAAGAAAATGGGAATATGTACAATTCTGGGTTCCAATCAAAAACCATTTTTAAAAATGTACCTATCTTTGAATTTCCTTGCACCCATTCACTGTAGAACAGAATCAAGATCAAGGCAAATAGAAAAATGCATCTAAAATGTCTCCTTCTTTTTTTTTTTTAGCAGTTCCAGTAAAGTGCCACATATATTAAAAAAAAAACTATAATTTTTAGATGCCCATGCTCCTGAAAGACAGCGAATGAGCCATATGCAAATGAGGAGTTTAAGTTTAAATTATCCTTTATTTAAAAATTATCAATGGATCTTTGGTTAATGATCCCTTTATGGACCCCAGGGTCCTCATTAGTAAAACAGTCGTACTAATGATCATTAATATCACTTTACAATTTTACACTCTAAAATTTTACAGTTTATAATTCTACTGGAAGAAGAATAATGCAACTACAAAATATAGTGTTTCATAGATCCACAGCATTAGAGTTTCATTGCAGAATTTATATACCCTATCCCTCAAGCCTAGGCAATGTACTAGAAGCAGAGATAGTGGCAATTGTAGTTTGCCAAGGAAAAGGAGGAAGACTATGTGCATTCTGATTAGAAAAGATACCAATAAAAAGCCCTTGCTATTTCAAACATTAACAGTAATTATGAAGGTAAAATTATGGAAGGAAACTTTTGTGATTTCTTCTAATCGACATTTATTAGTATAGAGTTATGAGTATGAATTGTGGACCTCCCAAAAATATCTTTTCAAAAAAATCTTTATTGCAGATAAGAAACTAATGTAATAAATTAATTTAATTATTAATAAACTCGAGTCTTCATTGAGGGAGTCCTCTTCTCATCACTATCCATCATACTTATTATGAGTCCATGGTAGTGATATTTTTCACATTTATTGGTTTGCAAGTTGCCTCTGATTCAACAAGATGTGCTATAAGTGAAAACATTAGCATAAGTTGACAAAAAAATATGCTGCATTAACTTAGAAACATCTCTTCATATTAGTTTATGATGTGACAATCCCAGGATCAAATAGAAAATGGAAGTTGTCTAAGAAGTTTGTGAAAAGTCCCTACTCTTCGGAAATAACTCAGAATTCAAGCATGATTCATCCCAGATCTACAATCATTTATTGACCATCTATTGCTTGCCAGACACGCTGGTGGATGCCAAGGACACCAACATAAATAAACACAATTTTTGTTATGCATAACCTAAATTCAGATTAAACCTACTATTATGAAGAAACCTGAAGTATATATTCCTAGAATAGTAACATCATTTCTATCTATATAAGTGTTAGTTACCAAGGGAAATAACCCAGTAAATTAAGTGGGCGCCCTCCTAATAGTGAATACATGCCCCTTAATTTGGCATGATGTGATATTAAATTATATAGCACTAAATTCTCCAAGTAACTGAGAATTTAAAAATAAAAATAAACTCCTAGAGTATAAACAGTATTATCAGTTTTCTTAAACTTAACCATTTTGACTTTGCACTTTATGGTACTTGTAAGAAATGAACACGATAATGTACCTAACAAGTGAATATATAATGACACTGTTTGATAAGATTAATGAGAAATAATTAGTTGCTTCACGTTCTTTGCCATTTATTCTGGGACATATCAGCAGAGCATGTGTGAGTCAAAGGCTTTGTATCCAGGGATTTCTTTCTTCTGCGCTATACGCATGTAATCTGATGAGTCTCCACCTGATACGGTGGTTGACAGGGAAGAGGCCGAAGTAATAGAATCATAAGTTCAATAAGCCTAACTGGAGTGGCTCTATTATTAAATCTTCAGCCTGCTGGTGAAGCAGAGGCTGCAAGCCGCAGCAAATAATAATGGATCCACTTGAGCAGACGTTTCAGTAGAGAAAACCTTTGTCTTCATCTTCAACACCTGAACCAGTTCTGAGCATAACTCAGGAATTGGAACATGGAATAAGTAGGGCCCAGAAATCTAAATTAATTCCTCAAATTTTGTGATATTCAGACTGAAAGACTTCCACAAATTTCAAATTTTGAGGTAACTTTTAAGTCTTTTTAAAAAGTTAGTCAAAATAATAACAAAACATAATATATAATGTTGGTTAACTTACGTGAATTAGAACAGTGATTCTAAACTTTTGTGTGTATGAGAATCACCTTGAATGCTTTTTAAATACAAAGTCCTAGACTTCTTCCCCAGTAATTCTGACTGAAGACATCTAGAATAGGGTTTGGCAATCTACAGCTTAGCAGGTGTCCCTGATGACTCTAATCTGGGTAATACTATCTGACATTCACAAATTCAAAACAATGGCTTTTTTAAGAGTCCAAAAAGAACTTTAGTTGAGTAACTTCTGTATGCTGGAGGCCAGTCCAGAGATAACTAATGGATTCTTCCTTCAGGTTGCTCATTATCAGCTGCGGGGTCAGATGCAAAGATAACTAACAGTGTGAAATGAGACAGGTACTTTGTAACCAGTATTTTTAAAGTTCTTAGGAAATACAAAGGAAGAAGCAGTTATTTCTGCCAGGAGTCAGGGAGGAAAGTTGAGCGTTATTTTCTGAGAAATGGCATATATGCTCTAATTCAGTTACTAATACTTACATCTTATTCTATTTTTTTTGTTTTTGCCATCACTCTGTTTACACTGACTTTTCATATGTTTATGGAACCCAGTGTTGCTTTTGAGTTTTGATCTATGTGTAGGTGTCTATTTTATTGTTAGTATCTTCATGTTTATTTGAAAGAACACTCAAAGTCCTAAAACTGACCGTTGTACCAGCTTATTTACAACCCCACTTTAACCAGCTTTATTGTGGATTCTGTCTTGTACTAGCATTGCACTCTGAGGTACTAAAAGACTGGCACTATGCTATGTGCCCGTTTTTGGCTTAAAACATTTAATTTGTTTTCTGATTTGGGCACCAAGATACTGTTGATCGACGGTGGGTATTCTCACACTGTAGCATTCTACCATTAAATATCATACTTCAAAGTGGCCATATATGATAAAGCAAACGATTTTATCTACAACTGCTTCAATAGTTTGCTGAGGAAATCGGATTTGAGATAGTTTACATCAGCAGTCCAGCAACTTTTGAAATTTGAAAAAAAAATGTAAGGGATACAGAATGAATGTGCAGCCAAATATTTTCCTCTACAGTATGAGCATGAACTCTTTTTCCATTTTATAATATCTTTAGGTAGAATTCTGGAGACATGTCAAAGGATTAAAAAAAAAGAAGTAGAAAAACCTTAGACCCAGAATCAACCTTATTTTCTCAAATGCCAAAAGAACTTATGGTTCTAGTGTACAACGTTCTAATATTAAAATTTCAGTACACCTAAAGAATATACATGATTAGTACTTTAACACACAGGCACACAGATAAAGATGATGTGTTTAAATACTCTATATTACCCTATTAATCTTTTTCGAGTAAATATTGTCCTACTCCAATTTTTGACAAAATGAATGATTCTATTAAATAATTAAAGCTTACCCAGTGGGAAAGATTTCTGTCCCAGAAATGTCAAAGCGGTTAATTAGTTTCTCTGATCTGTAGTCTATATTTAGTAAAGAATATGCCCTCCATGAAATTAAATGAATTGCGCACAGCAGCCAGGGACACAGGAGAAGGGAGGCTCAGGCCCACAAATCAACTCCAGAGTGACTTCTGGGACCGTCCCAGGTCAGAGAAGCCTTCAACCTTCCCTGACCTCAGCTTACTTGCCTAAGACGCAGGTGACACTGTACCATATCAGGAGGAAGAGGGAAGGAGGAAGAACAACCAGCGGGATGATTCTTTTTAATATACTAATTACTGAAGAAATAACAATTCAGCAGGGCCAGGCTTGGTGACCCATGCCTGTAATCCCAGCATTTTGGGAAGCCAAGATGGGGAGATCGCTCGAGCTCAGGAGTTCCTGACCAGCATGGGCAACATGGTGAAAACCCATCTCTACAAAAAATGCAAAAATTAGTCCGGCATGGTGGTGCATGCCTGTAGTCTTAGCTACTCAGGAGGTTGAGGTGGGAGGATTGCATGGCCCTGGCAGTGAGCTGTGTTCAAAACACTGAACTCCAGCCTGGGTGACAAAGTGACACCCTAGTGAAACCCTGCCTCAAAAATTAAACAAACAAATGAAAAAACAACTTAAGAAAGGACTTCAAATGTTTAATGACTATATTTTCATCTACAAACATACATTTTTCTATGAATAGCAGTATCAACCTGAAACTAGAATTCTGAAGATTAAATCAGATAGGAGAAAAGGAGAGTGCAAGAGAGCTTTGAGTCACTTTGGCCAGTAAAGAGCTGAAATAAATGGAGTCCGTTTCAAAATGTGTTATATTTTACTATGGTCATCATAATATAAAAGGAAACATATGAGAGGAAAATGTGATAGAATTCTTTCTGTTTTAGCCTTTTCCCCAAGTGTTTTAAATGTACCAAAAAATCTTCCCTTTTATAGTGTCCATGCTGGCACCTCCATTATGATGTCACTTATAGGTCTATCTGTTGCCAGATCAGTAATC